GGCTCTCAGTCTGATTGCAAATCCCAGCCCCAGCTGAGTCAAGGGTCCGTTTTCACAGTAGTCGGCCGTGTGCAGGGTAGAAAGAATACGCGCTACGAAGCGGATGCCAAGCGTGAGGCTGGGATGGGGAAGGGAGGGCCCAGGACCTGGAAAGCTATCTCAGAGTCACTGTCGTAATTGTAGTGCAGCTGTCTACATTTGGCTCAGCCCAAACCAAAGAAAATCGAATGGACATGTGAAGTAGATGTGTTCAACCTGACTTGATGCACCCTGTTTTCATCGGTGCCCCTGAAGTTTCTTCCACTTTGATCAAACTGTTGCCGGCTTCCTGCTTCAGGTCGGAGGGCGTCCTCATGGCTGCGAAGCCCGCGTGAACAGCACTGCTGGTTTTACCCTCTGCGTGTTCCATTTTTCCAACATCAAATGTGCCAGTTATAAAATTGTGCATTTTCTCATAAAACCGCCGTCTGGGAACAAGTATAGGATGATTATCTCTTCTCAAACAGCTGCTTTTTCTTCTTGTAGACCCCCGTAGGTATAAGCTAAGGCTTCCTTCTTATAAGAAATGCTTGTCGCAAGAAAGGGATGAGTGTGAAAATGCCTTTTTATAGACCCTCGGTCTACTTCTGCTATGGGGATTATTTAAACATGAAGGAATTTCATGATGATTTAAAATTGCCTACCCCCTCCATCTCCAAGTGCTTCTGGATCACCTCCCCAGCTGTTTAAAAAGTTGTTGAGCCATTAACTGCTGCTGAGGCTGCTCTGAGCTCCCTTTGAAATGGGGGTCCCCTGGCTGCAGTACGTAATATTAATGAGCAGTAAGTGACTGCCTGCTGCTTCCTCCACCAGGCCCTTCTGGGCTCTGACAAGTGCTACTGCTGCCTCCGCAAGGCCTCCTGGCCCATCACGCCTCCGGAGTGATGGATATCCCTGCCAGCACTTCTGTTTCCTCAACTGATTGGTGTCTTGCTATCAGCCTCTTCCTAGAGCACAGAGGCTGGGGAAGCTCTTTGTCTTTATCTCTGCTGTTTGCTCACATGCTCAGGAGGCTCTTTAACACAAAGTAATTCTCACCATTCCACCCATTCTTCACATGAGCATCAGGGACTGGTCTATATCCCAGAAAACAGGGCAGCCCAGGGCTCAGAGCCAGACTCTTCTTGAACCCCAATTTTTGGTAGGAAAGAAGCAAGGGCCCATACTCACTTCTCCAAACCAGACACCTAAATGAATATTTCCAGGGCAAATGAGCAGCTGTAGAGGGGACATGGTCATCCTCTGACACATTTACTATCCCACACCCTCTTCACTAAAGAAGCAGAAAGAAACTGGGTGTGGTGGTGCACGCCTGTAGTTCCAGCTGCTCAGTAGGTTAAAGCAAGAGGATCACCTGAGACCAGCCTGGGCAGCAGAGTGAAATCTTGTCTCTCAAAAAAGGGAAATAAGGCTTGGTGCCTGTGGCTCAAGTGGCTAAGGTGCCAGCCACATACACCTAAGGTGGCGG